GCAGGCTGTCAGCTCCAGCGGCTTTGTTGTTTTTCAGCCGCGTTATTTGCTATTCGTACCTCGTCATAATCAGGCGGTGGAACGTCGACTGCGTCACCATCGAAGCGGGCTCGGGTTCTTCTTCTCCACAACTTTCCGTGCTGCTAACATTCAGTAGGGCGGAGAAGTGTTCCTTCCATAATTTAAGTACGCTCTGGACATCAGGTACTAGGTCACCATTATTGTTCTTACAGGAGTACGCCCCGGTCTTTAAACCTTCCGTAAGTCGCCTAACTCTCTGGTAAAATTTTCNCCTCTCTCTTCTTGTTGCGGCAAATACGTCTCGCTTCCCTCTTCAGATCCCTATAGCGGTCCCACATAGCGCGCGTTGCGCCCGATCGCAGCGTGGCCCTGTAGGCGGCATCTTTTTTCTCTGCAGCTTCCTGACACTCCTCATGGTACCAGTTTTTCTTTCGGGCTCGCTGAAATCCGACTACTTCTTCAGCGGCGCTTAATGAGTGGGAAATATGATTCCACTGCTCGCATATGTCGGTTTGTTGAAGAGTGCTCTCTGACAGCAGGTTTGAGAGTCGAGTAGCTAAAGCACTGTTTGTCTGTTGTGATTGCAGCTTTTCGGCGTTAAGCTTTCCTTGCATATTTGGGCGTACATTTTATGCTGCTCAGAGGCGGGTGCATATCTTGGCTCCAACAAGATAGTGGTCCAAGTCGATGTTTGGGCCTCGGAGTGTGCGTACGTCTAAAACACTGGAAGCGTGCCTTCCGTCTATCACAACATGATCGATTTGGTTTCTCGTTTTTCGATCCGGAGACAGCCAGGTAGCTTGATGGATCTTTTTATGCTTGAACCTAGTACTGCATACTACCATGTTTCGGGCCCCGGCGAAGTCGATCAGCCTCAATCCGTTGTCGGACGTTTCGTCGTGGAGGCTGAATTTTCCGACGGTGGTTCCAAAGATCCCTTCTTTGCCCAGTTCCAAAGATCCCTTCCTTTCCCACCCTGGCATTGAAGTCGCCAAGCAGCGCTTGTATGTGCGCTCCAAGCGCTCATAGAAGAGATCCTTGGATGCCTTATCCTTCTCTTCCGTTGGGGCATGGGCGCAGATGAGCGAGATGTTGAAGAATCTCGCTTTGATGCGGATTGTGGCTAGACGCTCGTCCACCGGGGTGAACGACAGTACTCGGCGACGGAGTCTCTCTCCCACCACAAATCCAACTCCGAATTTGCGCTCCTTTACATGGCAGCTGTAGTAGACGTCGCAAGGCCCCAGACATTGCTTGCCTTGCCCAGTCCAACGCATTTCTTGGATAGCGGTGATGTCAGCTTTTGTCCTTACGAGGACATCAACCCGCCGAGCAGAGGCACCTTCCCCATTAAGGATCCGGACATTCCGGGTGCATGCCCCTAAATCGTAGGCCTTTAAACGTTTGCCGTGCTCGTCATCATAAGGGGTACCTTGCTTCTTCACTGGAAGTGGTTTTTATGTGGCGGGTCTCACNCAAGCCCAGCGCACAACCCATTGCTGGGACGGGGGTGGTTTCGCAACCAAATACACGTTTATATAGCGAGCCGCTTGCTCCAAGCAGACACCCGCTTGCAGCCGCACCTACTGGTGAACAGACGCTGCAGACTTAAGTGCGCCCTTAAACCGAATAAGTCGGAGTGGCCCCACCGAAGCTCCCTCTCTTTCTGCCGTGACCCAAGGGTCCGCTCGGATCGGTTACCGCATCTTGCACATCGTTTGCTCACGTTGCCGAGAGTGCGCGAACGAGGACGCAAGAGTCGTGATTAAGTATAGCCATGCAACTGTAACTGCATACCCAGCGCAACGACCATACCCCATTGCATCCTCATTGCTTTCATTTAAAATTCTGCTGTAAAATTTTAGTGGGCTTTTTCACATAATTTTTCAAAACTATTTTCAAACGTATTACGTGTAGTAGGTGATGTACATTATGTGTTACACTCGTGTCTCCGAAAACCACAGGAAAATTTTGTACAAATAATGTTAACAAATTTTTCGCTACCTCAGTGTTCGAAATGTAGCTCTTGGGGCAAAACAATAGCCGGAAAGCAAATGCAATAGGAGGTACTCATAATAGGCATCATCTGAAACTGTATTTTTTAATACAGATAGACCTGTTTATAGCAGGAATTAACGGAACTCTGTGGCTTTCCAATTGTATATTTCTTCCAATCCTCTTGGCTTTAGGGCAAATTCTGGCGTAATGTACAATTTAAGGGTTTTTAAGTTGTTAGAAATATGACTCTTGTTCTCTTTGGAAACTTTTATATTTATTTTATCCTGCATAATGCGAATCAAAAATTTGCGCATAATACCCAAGTCTATCAGATGCATACTGTCAGTAGATACTTGGCTTATCATTTTAATGCCCAGAGTTTCTAGTAGTGTTTTTCGGTTTCTATATTTAGGTAAGTGGTGGCTTTTATATATTCTGTTTGCGAAATCCTCATCAGAAATTAGTTCACCACTTTCTATCCCGTAAACTAATATGTTGTCCACTTTTCTACCTTTCTGTGTGCATTTTGTGCAACCAAACGCCGAGGTGTGACCTGGTATGCCGCAAATAAAAGCTTTAGCAGGCGCATCACATACGATAGATTTCAACTATTATAATATTACCCAATACATCCACACCATTTTCCATTAAAATTTCCATTTCGGCTACAAAGGCAGAACTTTCAACACTGTCGGGCTTCGTAGGCCCAAGTAAATTTAAATTCGTACAGGTAAAATAGGAGTATTTTCCAAATTAACAATCCTAAGCAAAATTGGCCAAATCTGTGTGAGGCGGTCGACTCACAACGCTAATAGTTTCTGAAGATGCCTTCAGACTGAAGGCGAAATATCGACCAAAATAAAACTAAAAAGTAAATAAAACAGAAAAACATTTAATGTTTTATTTAACATACGCCCTATAGCTCAAAAATAAATTAATAAATTAACTAAACGGCCAATAAGCAACACAATCATATATATTTATATATTTTTAATAACTTTTACTCCTACGAACTTAGCACATTTCCTATGGACTTAATGTCAGCCAAATCGACAATATCCTCGGGGTCTTTACGTATAAAAGTGCTGTTGCGTTTCGGCTTCCTTTTATCAGCTTTATTATGCTTGCCATTATCCGCGTCCATATCTTCTGGCAAATCAGAATCGTAATCTGCCAATATGTCATCAATGCTGCAAGCATCCATTAAAAATAAATAAGGTGTTTTAAAGGGAACTTTTAACTTACGTTGTGCTCTTCACAATTTTAATTAGCTCTTCAGATGTGAATTTATGGTCTGAAATGAAAGAAATTTGCATTAATTAATTGTAAATACATGAACTCGATAAATTTATAATTTTTTTTTTGCCATTTCACAATTCGAATTACCAAGAAATAAAAACATACCGCAATGCGATACATAAATAACAAGTAAGAAAGTCTAAGTTCGGGCAGAGCCGAACATTAAATACCCGGCGCAAGTATTAAATATATGTTTTTTCACCTTTCCGAAACCTTCCGCTGGATGGTAAGCCGGGGTGTATCAATTTTGAGTAAATTAGCGTCCTTCAATTTCGAAATATTGAAGTTTCAAGCATTTCTGAAATTTACCGTTATATGAGAAGCGGCCGTTATTTTAGTCCGATTTCAATAATTTTCAAC